TCCAAGACTTTGCGTAGGTTTCCTCTAAGCGAATGGTAAGACTGTAACAATAGAGAGATTTTGCAAACCATCCCGTCACTTTCTCTTCACAAAAATACCATGTGTTCGACAAAACCAGAAGTATCCTGTAAGATGTAATTGAAAACCTTACTAGAACTGATAGGAGTCACTGGTTCAGGTTTTGTGTAGGGATTGCAATCCCTGGTCCCTAGAGTTCAAGAACACTGGGTGGCTTCTCTGTCAAAGAGACGCTTCACGGATGAAGAGGACATCATCATGTTCCTCCGTGAGGTCAACGCAAGAATGCCATTTCGAGCTCGCCGTGGTGCCGTCATGGATGCCTGGGCAGAGGTGGCCGCCGCTCTTGTGACAAAGGAGGAATTCCAGCGCCCTGGCTTCGACGCGAAGCGGGCGAACAATCGATTTACACTGCTTCTTGACGTAGTCTCAACAGAAGTCCTTGCTGCTATCTGGGGTTGATGAGGAATATAGCGAGAAGATGCAGCTTCTTCATGAGCTGCTTGCCTCGTACGACGACGCAAAGAATGAAGAGCGGGACCGGCTAGACGAAGCCAAGCGCGAGGCCGAACGAATAGAGGCATTGGGCAAGAATGTACGCGAGGAGGCGCTGCAGTCACTCGGGAAGCGGAAGGCTTCGGATGACCCAGAGACTAGCGGGGGTGGCGGAGGCGGCAGCAAATTCCTGAAGATCGTGTCGATGATGAATGAGGATAACAAGGCGGAACTCGAATTTCGTAAGTTCCAGTACATAAAGGATCTTGAAGAGCGCCAAAAAGACCGCGATTTATTTCTTGAACAATCGCGAATGCAATATCAAACAATGATGAACTTGCTAGCTGCACTAAGCAACAAGCAATAATTGAGGTGTATTCATGAGTTTACACTGTTGCTACTTCCAAAGTGTCTAGTTACTGTTTCAACGTTGATGGTTCTCGGTCAAAGTAGCTTGATATTTGATTTCCGCCAAAATGGCAGCAATGGCAGTTTGTCAGCAACATCGACACCAAAACAATTTTCGCCACAGGTGAAAGCCGAACTTTTGACAAGTTTGTACGTAATAATTGCCCACAAAGACTTCATGATTTTGAAATTCAATTCAACTGATTGCCGAACACGCCTCATCCATTATTTAACTCTTTCTGCGCACTTGAAAGACCATTTCCTTTGAACCCAGACAGAAAGAATGTCGAAACACCATAAGCAGGGTCACCACAAATGAACTTGTTCAGAAATAAATCAGAATGGAAAGCAAAAAAATCCAACAATGCACTGTGGCGAAGCAACGTCGTGTCGTGCTCTATCCCTTCCACTGGACCGAAGAAGTGAATGCAGATGCCATCGGGTGCTGTAATCCCTTGGTAGTTCAAGCAATGAACCGCGCTTGTGGCCGCTGTAAACTTGCTGCTGGAGGTTGTCGCCATTGCGACACACACGGTTCCTTGACTCAGTTATGATAACAGCGGGAAGCCGAGGATGAGTCCGAGCGTTTGAATTCCATGAACGTCAAATCGAAACTCCAGGATAGCATTTGCGTCAGCGTACGCTGTCAAGATGAAACGAACGTCAGGTATCAGCGGGCGTTCAATGAACGAGCAAACAAGAAGTGCAGAAACAAGTCGTCGTTGTTTTCGAGTCTTGGCAGCAATGTACAGGGCAAGAACATCATCAAGCGAGAGTACCATGGTCAATGCAAGTTCAATTGTGGAACACTTTATCCGGAGAGTGAAGTGAATGGTGCATAATGCAAGTTTCATTCAGTCTTTTCAGAGTCACTTAAATCGTAATTTGTCTCAGTGCCCTGAAGAGACAGTGAGTAGAAATTTTGCAAAATCTCTCTTATGATATTTTGCAACATGAGCTTGATATTGTCAGGTTTTCTTGGATGTTGTATAATACTTCCTCCGTTTCGAAATACTGTTGTGGGTTCACTTCAGTTTCCTTTTCTCAGACAAAACTCGTCGCCAGAAACCCTAAGTAGGCTCAAATTGATGCGAGAAACTTCACCATTTCGAAACAATTTTTAGATTATTTTATTCGCTGTAGAACTCGAGAACTACGACATTCAAAGTTTAAAAAATACGAAGTCAAACTTTAAATCGCTGCCAATCAGTCAATTCTTATCCAATCAGCCTCATTCTTCGCGCAAACGACTCGTCTTGATTATTAGATACTCTTAGCACATCTCAGAAGATTTTGATTTGCACAACATTCATGTCTATCCGTGTCACGACCGGTCGGCGAAAACGATTGTACAACGCTCTTTGCAAACTCATGGCCAACGGTGCTGTGCCGCGCGGCTCCATGAAGGCTCTGTGTGCCGAGTACGGCGTGACCCAGCAAGCGGTGTCGATCATCTGGCGGCGTGGCCAGGCCGCCGAGAAGGCTATTGGCTACGCCGATATGAGTTCACGGAAGCCTGGCTACTGCGGTCGCAAGAGCAAAATTAATCTGGGGGCTGTCGAATCATCTGTCAAATCAGTTGACCCGTATCATCGTTCGACGTCCCGCTCGCTTGCGCGATGGACAAGAGACAAATCGACGAAATTGTTGCTGGAGTTGACAATATGAATCTGTAAATGGCAAGATGTTCATTCATCATATCATGGTATTGTTGGTTGTAACATTAGACTTTTGAATAAGAATACGATGTTATCAGCAAGTTAGCATACAATTTTCAAGTGTAGATTTCCCACTTCACCATCCCACAACAGTATTTTAGAACGGAGGAAGTATTCAAAGTCTGGATTCATGCGGAAGCTTTCAAGAAACACATTTGGAAGACGCCGTAGCATGGACGCGACCGCTTGCATGGCTTAGACTTTGGCTTGGACGAGATCAAGAGGGTCCATGGTTATGTTGTGTATGCTTTTTGGTATCACTGCGTCTGTTTGCTCCCTCTTCTTGAAGTTTGTACGGCGAATTTTGCTTCATGTGCTGGAGTCAAGCAATGAAGCTAAAATACGTCCGCCAACTGCAGATGAAACTGAAATGTTTTGCTGTGCAATTCGTTCAAAGCATTCATTGCTTCGCAATGTATGGGCTGTTGCCCATGGATTGAAACTTCATTTGGAGCAAGCCGGCGACACAGTCATTCAAAACATGTTCTACAATGGTTGGACGCACGACCATTACGTCAGCAATATTTTTGTTTTCTGCCCCAATGGACCTATTGCCGTTGCTGCCCTAAATGCTCCTGGCTCAATGCACAATTGACAAATTGCTGAATGGGGTGATGTATATGCAAAGCTTCAGGAAGTACACGAAAAGTATGGTGCTTGCGTTGTCGTTGACTCTGCATTTTGCGGTCAAAGATATGATTTTCTTATCAAGTCAAGTCAAGAATTGCCAATTACGAACGATCCAACTGACATCATCAGAGGAAATCAAGCGACATCATTGCGCCAGTATGCAGAATGGGGAATGCGCGCATTCAAGGGATCACTTCCACGCCTCAAGGACCGCCTGTTGTACGAAGAAGTTGGTGAGGGTCGCGTCATATTGCACATGGCTGTGTTGTTGTTCAACTACCACACTCGAATTGTTGGTTTGAACGAAATACAAACGACATACATGCCACGATTAAGTGTTGAAGCGAATTACATTTTGAAGTGTAGTTAAAATGACATCAAACAAAATTGTAAGCTTACTAGTTTCGTGATTGTTTTCGTCTTGCATGTTGTTTGAAATTGATGATTGCTTTGACGCAATCATAAGCGCCATGAGTCTCATGAAGTCACGCCTATCTTCGTCACGGCGCAAGCGGTCTTCACGACGTTCTTCTTCGCGGTTCTTTCGCTCCTCTTCACGACTTTCACGCTCGTCCTCTCGACGCTTATCGTCCATCAAAAGCTGCAATTCCATTAACCGCACCATCGACAAAGTGTGATCCGTCGAGGACGGCTTCAAACGTTTCGAGACCAATGGTCGTGGATATGACGAAGTCCTGCCATGCAGTGTGCGGCTGTGAGAAATAACTCCACCATTGCCCGTTCAATGTGGCCAAACCAGCAATCAATGTGGTTCCGAAGTTTTAATATCTTCGAGCGTCGAAGTACATCTGGAAACTATTTCATTCAAAGTGGTTTAAATTGCAATCAATGTGGCCACCTGTAAATTGTAATTCGATCAAAACATGTATTGATAAAGGTTTGCTTTTGGCAGCCGTGCCAAACTCACGCGACACAAACTCGTCGCACTTTCGTTCGCCTTCTACTCGTGGACAATTATTCTCGCCATCAGGTCCATGCACGACGTCGTCACATACTGCTTCGATGCAGTCTGAAAAGAAATCGTTCTTGCTGACGTCGCTGTCGTCCCCAACCACATAAGTGTCCGACGTGAGCTCGATTGTGGTGGTTTATTCATATCTGTTGTACGTGGAGAGCTATTCCCGGACACAGTTTCCTGTAGCAGTGTCCACGGACACGCTCGCGTTCCTTGCACGATCATGCCAGTCGAGCCCATTCCGTTGGCGTCGCACGCCCACCTCGCCTGGCGGTAAAATGTGGGTCCGTCCGTGTTCATCTTTCCCCCGCGACGCTCCGGATGTACACCCCGATCAAGTACCCTCTCGAAACAGAACTCGAGAACATCCTCCAGCCACGACCGCGAGCCCGCCACGTCGTCTGGGCGACTTTAAACGTCATGGCAGACACCCCTGGAACCTTCACTCTGGCTATGAAGATGCCGTACATATACAGCAAGGGTGAGGTGGCGAGACCGGCCAGACGATCTTCGAGCGCTGTTGTAGGACGTCCTTCCATGTGCGCTACCCTTTATCGACACGACCAAAGCCATTTCGATTGACATGTTGAGCGACAGCAAAAGTGACAACGATGAGGCTGACCACGTGAAGATTCCATCCTAGGACGCCGCCAAAAAGATTTTTTTAAAGAGGACGGCATGGTCGATCTGCCATCACTTGCGCAGTTTCCGCGCTACGAAGCGTGGCTTCGGCACGACGAAGAGTACCAAGCGTACCGGAATGATTTGTGCATGCGGATGCTGCAGGTATGTCCACTAAGTCCTTCTAACATCACCTCACGTATTCCTGTCGATTGCGAGGCTCATGGACAAGATTGTAAAGCATGTGCGCAACCCGGCGACACCTTTTGTGGTGGAAGGTCACGGCGACATCGGTCGAAGGTGTGAGGGCGTCGTGAAAGACCAACGACGAGTATATCAAGGAGCGCAAAGTTAGCGACGCCATTTTGAACGTGTGGCGCAAGTGCGCATCTCACTTAAACTACGACAGTGACGTATCGTTTGGTCGGAATGCGCAGGCCATCCAGCGATCCAGTCTGGCTCCAGCGCATCCATGCAAAGGATGCCGATGACAGAATTCAGTGGATGCGACTGTTCAGGACTCCTTGGTTGACGTGTCCTTGAGTTTGTCGTCTAATGTCGTTCGATAAAACATGTATTGACAAAGTTAATTCTCCATAGTGCATATTCTCCAGTCGACTGGCTGCGTGGACAGACACGTGACAGTGCAAAGACATCTTTGTTGTCAAGATGGCGGTCAAGCAACACAATGATTCAACAGCGGCACGTTCCAAGAGGTCCATTCGCGCCTCCGTCAACATAGCGTGTACACCACCGGTAAGCATTTCCGAAAGTCTTGAGGCGAGAAAGTTCTTGATTTTAGTTTTCAGCACGCTGAAGGAACCCTCAATAGGATTGCATATCGGCGAGTACGGTCCAAGGCGTAGCAAGACGCAGTCATCGTGCCCAGGCATGCGGGTCACAGTTTGGCTGTGGGCGGGTGCGTTGTCAAGGACAATGACCACGATCTTGCCGCAGAATTCGGCTTGGAACGATGGCAGCGACTTGACGGCAAGATAGATGGTTTCTGCAAATTCTGCGTTCTCTTCCATTCGAATACTTCCCGTTGCATGCAGTTTAGGATGAGGCCGTCGGTTGTCGATACGGCACACTGCAACTGAAGATTCGCTCCCTTCGACGGCGGAAGCACGGCGACGGCACGTTGGCCCACCTTGGCGCGACCTTGTGTTCACCTGCTGTACAGATTGTAGTTCGTTTCATCGTAATACACGATATAGTCACCACGCGCCATGTGCATGAGTAACGTTTCAGCGAACGCTCTTCTCTTGGTTTTATTGATGTCGTTGTTGTACGTCGAGGGTTCGACACGGACTTGCTTCACTGTGTACAGCTCCCATAGAGAGTTCGACTGATCGTTGAGGTTGAGATGTTGATACCAAGTTCTACAAATAGCCTGTCCTGCATATAGCTTAGAGTATACTGACAGCATTCGTCGATGTACGCTTTCAGACGTAAGGAGATCTCTGGGGTCAACTTGGTCAGTGACTGGCGCGCTCCACTCCGGCTGAGTTGATTGGCGCGGTTGTTGTGAATCACACGTCGAGCTCTCGTCAAAGGGACACCATTGTGAGCGGCCTCTGCTTTCCAATCTTTTCGGTCATGGATTGCTGCCAAGACACGAGTTTTCTCGGCTTCTGTTGGCATCTTTTGATTGTGTGTTGGCAATTTTGTCGCGTGAGTTTGGCGCGGCTGCCAAAAGCAAACCTTTATCAATAAATGTTTTGATCGAATTAAAATTTACAGGTGGCCATATTGATAGCAGATTTAACCACTTTAAATGAAATAGATTTCAGATGTACTTCGAAGACATTAATATTTTGGAACCACATTGCTGGTTTGGTCACATTGAACGGGCAATGGTGTAGTCAAGTGCGTTGGTGTGATCGGTATAAATTATCAGGCCTCAACCGGAAAAGCTGAACAAATGCACAATAATTGCTAACTATCATTAATACTACCTCCGTCCGTAAACATAAACACGAATCAGAAATTTGAGAACATGACGTTTTTGGAAGGTTATGACACTGGTAGAAACAGGGCAGCGTCGTCTTGTCCAATCAAAAGACCTCGGTCCAAAATCCTAACCAAAAATGAAGCTACGAGACAAAAGGAACTCATACTTTTACGACTCGTCAGCGCCACACGCGAGCGCGCCAAGTACACTTGGTGTTAATCTATATAGAATGGAGAAGGAAGGAATTTACGGTTACGCGTAGCTATATCCGGCAGTTTGTCTGGTGACTAACTGAAGTGCCTTGGACGAGTTCGCATCCGTGAAACAAGGCCTTTAAAGATGTTATTTTAGAAATTGCATATGCAACTTTTAATGAAATTGGTCTTTTTGCTTATTGGTTAGGCACTATTGGAGCAGTTTTACAGCTTTTTATTCAACTAGATTAATATTTTTCACATTTTTACAGTGGTCGAACACATCGACCGACCTTCCGGATAATTCATCAAATTTCAGAGATCACAACCTCTTCGGTGCTTTTGCA